AAACTGAGCCACAAGGGTAAGTGCAGTTCAGACCTGAAATGTGATCAAGGGCCATACTCTCTTGTTCCTCCATTCTCTTTCTGACCAATATAGCTGGTCTTATTTTAATATAACTTTGAGTTTTCTTTCACATTTTCTACAACTCTCACCAAGACCTTCTAATGTGATCCCAGAGCAGTTGATAGCGGCAGATGGGTACCATTTAGTCCTTCTGGTCTCAGGTCATACAGACTTATGCTCAATGTTTCTTTAGTCCATTGGACTAACTGCTATCAAACATCTTCAATTTTCATCACTCTTTTTTCCTCCACACAGGGAAAGACCAAAAACTGCACCTTAGATGGCCACTCATGAACTTTTAAGACCCCAGTTGCTACTCATAAAATATGTAGAATAGTGAAGAGACCCGTTCTTAAAACACAAGTAGCACTATTGTTGTTAGTTGCTGTCAAGTTGATTCTGACTCATGGTGACCCTAGGTATACAGAGTAGAATTGCTTTTGGAAGCAGATTGTCAGGTCTGTCTTTCAAAGTGCCTCTTTTGGCTAGCGTTGTTATTGTTAAGTGCCATGAAGTCGGTTCTGACCTACAGCGACCCTGTACAGGGTTTCCGAGGAGTGGCTGGTAGGTTTGAACCACCTACTTTGCAGTTCAAACTGACCTTGCGGTCCAGCACATTATCCTGCAGTACCACAGTACTTAACCACTTTTGCTACCCAGGGGCCTTCCAGATATGGAACCCTATACTCCTTTTTTTTAGAATATTACTTTGCCAGTGTAAAATATCCTTCTTGTTGATGTTTAAGTGCCAAGACAGTTCCTACTCACAGTGACCCTGTATAGGATTTCCAAGGAGGAACTGGTGGGTTTGAACCGTAAACCTTGCAGTTCTAACCAACCTTGTGGTCCTCAGGGTGTAGCTTTACAAGCAATCTAAATGATCTTATTCCTCACGTTTAAACAATTTGGGGAATCTAATTAAGTTAAGCTTGGAAATATACCTAGGAACTTCAAGTCCTCATCTTCTCAGAGTACACATATACACATTTTCTGCATTCAGAAAAATTATGGTTCTATAAACTTTTCTCAACACACATAAATATTCACAACCTGACACTACAGATGATCACCTCAACACTTGCTGACTGGCCTCAGGTTACTTTAACAGCTTTAATCAAGTCAAGGATCTACTGAATCCCAATTAGTAACCAAGTACCTTTCACTGCAGCTGTCACTAGATTTGAGATTCATCTCCACCCCCCTTCAGAATCCCACACCTATCACTCACTACTTGGTATGAACAAATGTGTCCAATTTAGTTAAGGTTAAAGAGAATGGTCGGTTGTTACCATAGTACTTTTAGGGCCATCTAATCCAGAACCACTGTTAGTCTGAAAACACTTATTGGATGCAATCATACCAGTTATGACCACTATAACTATGACATCACCAAGCACCTTATGACAATGGCAGAATTAAAGCTGGAGGCAATGAAAAAATTATATTTCTTCAGCTCAAGTGTTTTCTAGAATACCTTATTTTTAGCATACTTTAAAGGTATCAAATCCTATATCAAAATGTTTTGAAGGCTAAATATCCCAATATTTTAAAAGACTAATCAACTAAAGTACTATTTCTAGAAAGGAACAAATTCAGTATAACAAGGAGTGGCGCGGCAGGATAAGCATTGTACTGCTAAGTTCAAGGTCGGTGGTTCAAATCCACCAGCTGCTCCTGGGAAACCCTATACAAGGTTTCTATGTGTCAGAACTGACTCAACGGCACTTAGAAACAACAACAAAAGTACTAATAATTAGTCAAAATATCATAACAGATTTCAAAGCATAAGAAAAATGCATTCATCCGTCATGCAATTTTGAAACTAGTATACTTTTTAAACAATACGATAATCTCAAATGTACTCAATCAAGCACACAGAAGACATACTATTTGTTCTATGAAAAATTAGCTTTCTAGTCACACTCATTAATAAGTTAAAGGGCTTCTGTTTTCTCTTTGCATGGAAATATACGAATTCATTTTACTTTGATTTTTTAACACTTTACTCTTTTGTAAAGATGGAAAACTGGGTAATGTCTAAACAAAATTACATCCTAAAGAAAAGGCCAAAAGTTTAGAAATTTCCAACCCAAACTTGCTATTATTCCCATTTGTTTTTTACTGTCATTTCCTTAAAGTTTCCTCTGATTTATTAGAAAGCTGATTCTAAATTATCTTTAACTTTCCCTTTAATCTAGTTACATAACTGTATAAACAAGCAAACTAGGTTTCAGATATTTAAGGCAGAGACTCAACAACAGCTCCTACACTGAGATTAAATTCACTTTACCATCAGAACTGATTTACTTATCCCTGTCTTCACACTGGCTTTCAAGACCAAAAAGATCCATATACACTTATCAGAACACTGATACTCTTTCTTTTCAAACAAGTCCTAAACTGCTCAAATCGGTCAAAAGCTATATAGATAATATTTCAAAAATAAAAAAATTCCTAATTTTCATGAAGAACGTAAAAAATCCCCACATGAATCACTCAGAGATCATCATCTTGACTTTCACCATCTGCTCATTGACTAAAGAAACTACATTTGAGTTTGTTAACTACAGATTAAAACATCAAAAATAATTATACTTATCTTTGCACAAGTAGAGAATACAAAAACATAATGAATAATTACATCTCTGTTGTTAAGTGCTATTAGAGTCAGTTCCAACTCAGCGACCCTTACAGGGTTTCCAAGGCTTTAAATCTTCAAAGAAGCAGAAAGCCTCATCTTTCTCCCTGGAAGCGGCTGGTTGGCTCAAACCACCCACCACCTTGTGGTTCAAAGTCCAGTACTTAGCATATAATAATCCATTCTCAGTATATCCCAAAACCCAATTAAACCCACTGCAATCTAGTTTACTCAACTCATAGCCACCCTATATAGGGTTTCCAAGACTAAATCTTTACTGGAGCAGACAGCCTCATCTTTTCCCACAGAGTGGCTGGAGTTCTGAGCCCATGACCTTGAGATTAGCAGCCAAATGCCTAACCCACACAGTCAACAGGATTTCAAAACAATTTAATTGAAAAGATAGGTCCTGATTTACCAATATCAAAGGTAAAATATAAACTTTTGTAAAGATTACTGTCCAAATTCTTTAAACTTGGGTAATATTTATAAAGTCCCTTTTTCCACTATGTTCTATGCCATATCAAAAGTCTAAAGACTGCAATATAGTATTAAAGTTTGTATTTACTTAAGTCTTCTAAACTCCACCAAAATGTTTTCTTTTTCATATAAACAACGGAAAAATGGACATACTGCTTCAGTGATATACCTCCAACAAGCTATTATTACAAATAAATTTTAAGAGGTTGGGTTACAAAAAATATTACAGATGGCTTTGACATGTACAGATAAAACTGAAATTACTGCCTCCAGCCCCTAGGGATAATGAAGTATCTCACTTCAGTTACATTGATTGCAGGATTTGTGAATATTCAATAAGGATCACAAACTTCCTAAATACTGTTTACGCTTAAAGATTTCAGAAAAAAATAACTCCCTACTTTATATATATGTTTGTTTTGTATTCAACTCAAGCTCACATTAAATTCTAATCTTTCTCAAAGTGTTGTAAGACTAAATGTAAGAGAATAATTTTAAACCAAGTTTAAAATTTTACATATACCTGAAAAGGTCAAAATTTTCTAAACTACTATATAAAATTGCATTATCTGGAATTTTAATAGTATATTGGATTTCTGCTTGTTTTTTTTATATACAGCAGAGAGTATTAGTAGCAAAGATCCTTTTCCAAACTGTTTCTGCTTTGTTTTGTAAATAACTCTGAAAATGTGTTTTAAATTATACAAACCGACCTCACTTTGTGGAGCAAGGTTACTTAATAGGGGTTTCAGGACCACTTTAAATTGTAGGAAAATTCTTGTGTATGTACGTATGGGTATTTTTAACATAAAGGGTTCCTGCAACTTTCAGCTTCTCAAAGGGGTCCAAAACTCAAGTAAGATTTAAAGTGCCCAGAATGACCTTCTCTGTTAGATGTCACAGGCAACCCATGCCTGATTTGTTTTAACCTAAATTGGGACAAGATTGATCCCGAATTGGTTGATTCTACGCAACTTCTGAGCGATGCGGGCATGAAATGGCTGTCTGAGACCCACGAGACCACGAGATCCCCTCACCCACGGAACACCACAAACCCCTAATTTTCCATGAGGGGGCCAGAGTGGAAAATGAGCAAACACCCCCACTGCTCAAAGGTCAATAGGTTCTTGTAGGGCAGTGTCCTCCCATACACTGTGGCTGTGGGCCAGACAACCGTTTCCAGTGAAGAGGCTGAAGTTCCCTAGGGGGTCACTTACAGCAAAGGCACCACCATCTGCCTCCTCCAAACCCAAAATGCGCTGGAAAGTAGCGGCTGCGGGCCCAGCCCAGCACCAGCGCGCACTGAAGCTAGGGACGCCCGGGGGCTCACTAGACCCCTGCCCGCCCGCGGGCGCTCCGAGGCGCGCCCACCGTTGCAACACGGTCGCAGCGACCTTCCCAACCCGATGTCCGCGAACCCCAGGCAAGTCCCGTTATCCAATCGGTCACAAACCCATGAGGGAAAAGAAGACCGAAACAAAGCCTAACAGGGGGCGGCCCATGCGAGATTGGAGTTGGGGGCACCGGGGCTGCGACCGAAGTGGCTGGGAGGCGGCGCCGCGCCGGGCCGGTGCGCGGGGATGCGGGACAGGCGGGGCGGCAGGCCGGGGCCAGGGCCGCCAGATGTCAGCGCGCCGGGCCGCAGTGTGGCAGCGGGAGGGGAGCGGTGAGGAAACGCGGCAGACAGGCGGGTGAGCGGTGGGGTCGGGTAGGCGGCTGGGTGTGAGTCAGGCCTGGGGAAGAAGGGGAGCTGCGGCGGGGTCCTAGATGGCTTGGTCTAAGCCCACCCCTACCCCCGGCAGGAGATTGCCCGGTTCCTTACCCGCCGGGAAGCTGCGGGCTGCGCCGGGGCTGTCCCGGCCGCCGGCCTCCGGGGCCAGGAAGCGCCCCCACATCGCAGGCGAGAGGGCCCACTGGGCCGGGGGTGCCCGACTCCCCACGTCCGTCCTCCCCCGCCTTCTCTTCGGCTTCTTCGGAGGCGGAAACTTATGCGGAGCCTGGGCCGCGGTGGCTCGGGCCGGCAGGCGGGCGGGCTGCTTAACGGCTGATCAGTGGCGGACGGGGAGCTCAAGGACCAGATTCACGGCTGCGGCGACGGCTGCCATGGCTGGGCAGGCTGACTGAGGCACGGGCCAAGGAAACAGCGGCTCCGCGTTGACGGCGACCCGGTACCCGGCTGCGCCCAGGCTCAAAGGCTTTAAGCGAAGTTGCAGCTGCGTCTTCTCTCAGCCCCCTCCGCCCGCGGAGCTCGAGCTGGGGCCGAGGCGGGGACAGAGCCTGGTGGAGGCGGGACATGGAGGGGCGGGGCATCCGACGCTTACATAAGGCGTGCGCGGTGCGGCGCGGGGCGGAGACTGTGAGACTGTCAGGGTGGAGGTGCTAACTGGGTTCTTCTGTGCCTGGAGGCGAATGGGCTGGTAGGCCCCTCCGGCTGCATCTTTCTTTCCCAAAGCAATGAGAAGAAGGCGGTAATTTGGCTAGAATAGTCTATTTTGCTATCCCCGCCTGTTGGGAAATCCTTCCTGTCCTCTGGGCAATTATTTTTAAAAGACGTGGAGGACTTACCCCTTTGACCTAGCCTCAAAGACTGAATGATCAGAGCTCAAGTGGAAGAAGAAGAAAAAAAGAGTAATCTGATAAAATTTGATGAACTTGACCTACACCTATGGATGCAGCAACTCAAAAGAGGGCACAAATCTTTACAGCAAGGATCATTCCCACCCCCTCTGTACACAGAGTAGACAGGAATGGGCAACTTGAACATTGGCTATCCAAAATGGGGGAGTACAAAGGCAAGAAGTGACTGGCTTACAAGCTTTCAAGAGGGAACCTAGATCCAGAGGGAGTGGAGGAATGTAGACTCTCCACTGAGTAGTAGCCAGTCTGTCTAGACGGGACTGATTGAAGGAAATGCGGATAGGTCTCTTGTGATACAAGGGTGAATAATTGTTACCAGGACTGATTGTGAAGGTTGTAAATGCAGAAGTAGACATTCTGTGGCAAGGAGGGGAGGTCCCTGAAACCATGAAGGGAGAAGAGCAGAGAGCAGAACCCTACCCAGAGAGGCTGCAATTCCCAAGATGGAGGCAGAGATGATGACATGGAGAAATGGAGCAGCTGGGGACTCAGGACCCAGGGAGGGAATGGGGCTGTGTGCTGAGGGGGCAGTGGGGGAAGCAGGCTTATAGGATGTAACCTTTCGGTTGATTGGTGATGCGTGGAGGGGATTGTAACCATGGCAATGAAACAATATACTATAGGATGAATGTAAAACTGATGTTCTCCCATGTAAACGGTCATATAATTCACAATAAAACTTAAAAAAAAAAAAAAAAAAAGACGTGGAGGGCATGAACATCCTTCACCTCATACATGTTAAGTGTCCTAAAAAAAAAAAAAAAAAAAGACGTGGAGGGCATGAACATCCTTCACCTCATACATGTTAAGTGTCCTAGAGCCAGTTTCTGGTTTTTCAGGAGTGGCTGGTAGATTTGAAATGCCAATCTTTTGGTTAACTGTCCAATGCTTATTCTACAGTGCCACACCAGGACTCTACACATAGTTGATATAAAGAAGAGCCTAGAGGTTCCCAATCTCATATGGGATTGGATTGGGATTTAAATCGTCATCACTCACCACAAATGTAGTTTTAAAGTACTGTGGGAATTTAAAACAAAAGTTGTTTTCCTCAAAGAACAATCTAATAGAGAGGGGGATAGTGCCCAAAATATCAATGACACAAGGATGTAGGCAGGAAAAGTTAAAGATGGAGGAAAAGACTGAAGGATAATTAAGACCAGATGAAATTCAGAAAAGGGCCAAAATTATAATCCAATTTTTCAGCGGAATCATCTTCCCGGCCCCTAAAAACACTACCATAGAAGCAAGTAGCTAGGCTGTACTCTAGGTGCTAGGCAAATGGAGGTAAACAATCATGCATAATCCCTGGCCTAGAGTCCAGTGACACTTGTTTTTGTTCTGGAATTTTTATAACAAAGCTTCCATATTTGTATTTTTTCAGGAAAATACTGTTATTGGGCAATATTGCTTAAAATTCTTATAGTAAAATTACATTTATTATTATTTTAAGATGCTGTGGAATTGGTTCCAACTCCTAGAAACACTCATTGCTGTGATTGAGCCAATTGTCCAGACACTGTGTTGATCTGTCTCCTTGAAGGACTTTTTCTTTTTCACTGATCCTACACCAAACATAAAGGAGCTCTGGTAGCGTAGTGGTTACGAATGAGGCTGCACCTCAGGGTCAGCAGTTTGAAACTACCAGCTGTTCCGGGAGAAAAGTGAGGCTTTCTGCTCCTATGATTTACAGCCTCAGAAACCCTGTACAGGGTCACTATGAGTCGGAACCGACTCCAGGGCACATAACAACAACAACAGACCAAACATAGGGACTGATCTCTCATAGCAAACCTGTATAGGGTTTCCAAGGAGTGACTGGTGGGTTTGAACTGCCAACCTTGTGGTTAGCCATCCAGTGCACAACTTCTTCTTTATTCATTGCCCAGCTTTCACATGCATATGAAGCAATTGGAGAAAAACATTAAAACCTGGTTTGAGTAAGGGGAACCTTATTCATCAAATTAACTAAGCTTTTGAGCACATTAAAAAGGCCTTTTGCAGCAGATTGGCCCAAAGCAATATGTCCTTTGATTTCTTTATTGCTGCTTCCATGGGCATGAATTGTGGTTCTAAGTGAAATGAATCCCTTGACAAATTCAAAATTAATTTATCATAATGTTGCTTATTGATCTGGTTGTGAGCGTTTTTGTTTTCTTTATGTTGAGGTGTAATTTATTATAGTTTTGATCTTCAACAGTAATTACTTCAAACCCTCTTCACTTTCAGCAAGCATAGCTGTGTCATCTGCGTATCATAGGCTGTTAACAAATCTTCCTTCAATCCTGATTCTGCTGCATTCTTCTTCAAATAGTCCAGCTTCTCAGATTATTTGCTCAGCATATAGATTAAATAAATTTATGTTGAAAAGATACAATCCTATGATACAACTTTTCTGTTTTTAAATTACACAATATCCCCTTTTTCTGAACAACTGTCTCTTGGCTTGTGTACAACCTCTACTTAAGAACAGTTAAATGTGCCCATTCTTCGGGGGGTATTGTATGGTTTGTTATCCACATGACTTAATGTCTTGTATTTTTGTTGTTAAGTGCCTTCAAGTCAGTTCTGACTCATAGTGATCCTATATAGGGTTTCCAAGGAGCAGCTAGTGAGTTTGAACCACCAACTTTGCAGTTCAAAATGACCTTGCAGCCTTGTATAGTCAATAAAAAATAGGCAAACATCTTTCTGGAATTCTCTGCTTTCAGTCAAAATCAGTCTGACATCAGCAATAATATCCCTTCTTCTAAGTTCTCTTCTGAATCTAGGTTAAATTTCTGGCAGTTCCCTGGCATTGTGCTGTTGCAACTGTTTTTGAATTATCTTCAGCAAAACTTAAATTACATGTGATTTTGTTCAATCGTTTCCACATTCTCTTAAATCACCTTTCTTTAGAATGTGTATCTCTTCCAGTTGGTTGGCCAGGTAGCTGTTTTCTAAATTTCTTAGCACAAGAGAGTGCTTCCAGCATTGGATCCTTTGTTTGAAACATTTTAATTGATATTCCATCAGTTCCAGGAACTTTGTTTTTTGCCAATGCCTTTGGTGCAGCTTGGCCTTCTTCCCTCAATACCGTAGGTTCTTCTTCATAAGCTGCTATCCAGTATGGTTGAACGTTGATCAGTTATTATTGGTTTGGTGACTCTATATATTCCTCCTGTCTTCTTTTGATACTTCCTGCCTGCATCAATCAATATTCTGTCCATAATATCCTTCAATATCATAAATTAAGACTTGAATTTTATCTTCAGTTCTGTCAGCTTGAGAAATTCTGAGCATGTTCTTCCTTTTTGGTTTTCTAACTCCACATCTTTGCATTTCATTGTAATGCTTTGTCTTCTTGAGCTGCCCTTCGAAATTTTCTGTTAAGTTCTTTTACTTCACTGTTTCTTCCTTTTGCTTAAGCTACCTTATGTTTAAGAGCAAGTTTCAGAGTCTCATGTGACATTCATTTTGGTCTTTTTTTTTTTCTTTCCTGTCTTTTTCATGACCTTTTGCTTTCTTCATATATGATGTCCTTGATGTCATCCCACAACTCTTTGATCATTAGTGTTCAGTGCATCAAATCTATTCTTGAGATGGTCTCTAAATTCAGGTGGGATCTACTCAAGGTATGTTTTGGCTCTCATGAACTTGTTTTAGTTTCCTTCAGGTTCAGTTTCATAACTTACATCGGAGTATTGGTAGTCTATTCCTAAATAGACCCCTGGCCTTGTTTTAACTATAATATTGAGTTTCCCCAATATCTCTTTCCACAATTGATTTAATTCCTATGTGTCCACTGAGTAAGGTCCACCAGTATAGTCACTATTTATGTTGTTGAAAAATTATATTTAGAGAACATTTTCTCTTTTTCTGGGCTCCTAGACCAATTTAATCTTTGTATATTGTTTCACTTACCACATCTGTATTGTAGTTTATCTGATTGCCGATTCACATTTAGTCGTTCTCCAGCAGACTTGCAGTTTTTTCTCCATAGCATTAGATGCTGGCCAAGGGTCAACTGCTTCTAATAACAGAAAGTGACAGACACGTGAAAGAAAAATGTGATTGGTTAATTTTTCTGATTTACACACGCATTGTTGTTGCTGTTGTTGTTAAGTGCCATCAAGTTAGTTCCAATTTATAGCGACCCTGTGTAGGGTTTCTGAAGCGTGGCTGCTAGATTTGAAGAGCTGACCTAGTGGTTAACAGTCCAGTGCTAATCCTATAGTACCATACTAGGACTCCAGCATTAGCTCATTTTAAATGACAC